GACAAAGAAAGAAGTGACCAGTATAACAAATCTAGTAGGTAACCTGGAATTTGCGGACACAATGAAAATAGCAAATATCCAAAGATGTTGTTTTTTAATTTTCCAGGTAAGAATACTGGAGTGGGGTGCCATTTCCTCCTCCAGGGGATCTTCCCAACCCCGGGGCTGGGCTTTTCTTGAGTTTCCTACATTGGCAGGTGGATTCCTTACCACTAGCGCCACCGGGGAAGGCCTAATGTTGGAGCAAGCGCCCAGTTATCCAGGCTAAAGCCTCTTAGGGCGTTCAGTCCCTTCCTGTTCTCGTCCGTGACCGCTTGTCAGATTCTGTAATGGTCTCAGAGGGCTGCCATGAGAGATTTCTGTGACGCGTCAACCTCCGCATTTGTATCAGCACTTTTCAACACTTTCCTAAACCAGGCTTTCACCTTCTCGCGTGGGGACTATATCACTGCCTTCCAACTGGCCCCTCAGTCTTCATCATATGCTTCGACACAAAAATCTACTTGAACATTCTTCGTAATTCATGAGATGGAGCAACTTGCTTCCTTCACAAAGATGTTGTTTTTTAAAAAGAATCTGGTAGTTAGTGAAAGAACGAAAATAATGGAAATTGAGTATTGTGAGAGAAATATGAACCCCTGAAACAGGAACTCTACTAATAAAAATAGAGACCACATACACAGTACTTTAAGAGAACACCACAGATCATTTAGTGGGAGAGTCACCATTCAAACCTATGTCTCTCCACACAGAATGTGCTGCATGGTATCATGATACATGCCTCCTATCCTCCCCAATTAAACCGATATGGCAAGAGCTCCAAAATAACCATTAAAGAAAGTGAAGTCGCTCAGTCGCATCCGATTCTTTGCAACCCCCTGGACTGTTGCCTACCAGGCTCCTCCGTCCATGGGATTTTCCAGGCAAGAATACTGGAGTGGGTTGCCATTTCCTTCTCTAGAGGATCTTTCCAACCCAGGGACTGAACCCGGGTCTCCCACATTGCAGGCAGTGTCTGAGCTACCAGAGAAGCCCCCAAAATCCATTACTGATTAGTAATAGTGATTAAAAAAAAGGGCCCTGGATCATGATATCCCTTTAACTACAGAGGCTAAAGCTTCCAGCTTAGTTAAGAATATGCTGGAAATTTAAAAAATATCTCTTATATACTTCACTACCATTTATATCTTTCAGTCTATTACAGATGATATTCTTAAACATGTTAAGATGTTTTTCCTTTTTCATTCTTTCTTTATAAGCTCTAACTCTTGTCAACAGAAGGTGTCCATTGTCTGGAAAAGCATCACTACTTTTATGCCAGAAATGAAAAGATAATAAGTCTATACTAAATTTTTAACTCTTAAAATATATTCTTCATTCAGTCATCCATTCAGCAGATAATTTAATTTCAATTATGAGCCAGGTTGTTTCCTGTTCCAATACAGTGATGAACAAACCAGATCTTGAAGCAGAGAGGATCTTAATCTCTCTGCCTCTTCTATCACACTCACCTCCTCTCTATGTGTGGTATGTGTGAGAGAGAGAAAGAGAAATAAAGCCAAGTTCTATTGAGGAAAAAGTGTTTTCTACGTTCTCTTTCCACATTAAGAGTCAGTCCAGCATGAACATAGGCCATAAGTTTTATAATAATTCATGGTGTAGAAAGGAAGAATTACATGCACAAAGAAAGCTTTCAGCAGTCAAAATGAGAAGAAAAGAAAAAGTTTTGCACTACTAAGAAAGGGTGAGAGAAAGAACAGGACAAAGCTGTCCTGGGATCTTAAGTTGAGGGTGAAGTGAAAGTGAAAATGTTAGTCGCCCAGTCGTGTCTGAATCTGTGACTCCATGGATATAGCCCGCCAGGCTTCTCTGTCCATGGGGATTTTCCAGGCAAGAATACTGGAGTGGGTAGCCATTCCATTCTCCAGGGGATCTTCCTCACCCAGGGACTGAACGTGGATCTCCTGCATTGAGGGCAGATTCTTTACTATCTGAGCCACCAGGGAAAAGAAGTTGAGGGCAGATGGTGAAAACAAATGAACAGTTTGTGAAGGAAGTGCCAGAATAGAGCTTCGCCTTCTTAGGATGGAGAGGAAAATGGTGAACCTCTTAGAAAATCTCTGTCTTCAGTATGGCATTACTTATGTATAGATAAGTAGTTAGGTCCAGTGATTATTAATACTTATGTCCAGTAAGATCTAAGGGCTCTTCCACTGGAGCTAAGGAACGGTGTGGAAGCCACCTTCCAATCCTGCACACTACAGATTGGTTCAGAGCTACCTGAGGGTTGAGACAGACATGCTAAGAGATCCAGAACACTAGAATAAATCTGAGGTTGGATCAAGGCTAAAATAGAAAATAAAAACCTTGAAACTGGAAGCTATAATGGCAGGGGGGGAGGGGGAGTCCCAGAATAGTTCCCAACAGTCAAATGAGATGAGTCACAACATCCCAGACTTGAGATCCCCTCATCCTACTTTCCGTGGTCTCTCCTATACCTACAATCCATCTTAGGAAGTAGACAGAAATGGGACACCCCCTGAAAGAAGAGAGAAAAAAGTACTACTGGGGAGTTGAACTCAACACAGCATGATCACTATACAGAGTAATGATACCGTTTATCAGAGTAGGACTGGAAACCCAACCAGAAAAGTCTTGAATCTCATTAACTTTTTTCACTTTCAATTTTTTTCTAACTCAGCAAAACAGTGTCATAATCTGAGTCATTATCTTTGATTCAAAAATCCAGAAGTTGTCATTGATTCCATTGATTTCTCTTCCTTTTCATTCCCATAGCCAATCTATCACTGGGTCCAAGCAACTTTTCTTCCTAAGTGTAATAAAAAGTTGCCACTTCTCTCTTCCATCCAAGGATCATCTATAGCCCAGATTACTAAAATAATCTCCCACCTAATACCCCTACTCTTTACAGCATCAAACCTTGCTTCTATCACCAGTCATATCCACAACTGGGTGTTGTTTTTGCTTTGACTCCATCCCGTCATTCTTTCTGGAGTTATTTCTCCACTGATCTCCAGTAGCATATTGGGCAACTACTGACCTGGGGAGTTCCTCTTTCAGTGTACTATCTTTTTGCCTTTTCATACTGTTCATGGGGTTCACAAGGCAAGAATACTGAAGTGGTTTGCATTCCCTTCTCCAGTGGACCACATTCTGTCAGATCTCTCCACCATGTCCTGTCCATCTTGGGTGGCCCCACACGGCATGGCTTAGTTTCACTGAGTTAGACAGGACTATGGTCCTGTGATCAGATTGGCTAGTTGTCTGTAATTGTGGTTTCAGTTTGTCTGGCCTCTGATGCTGAAGCTGAAACTCCAATACTTTGGCCACCTGATGCGAAGAGCTGACTCATTTGAAAAGACCCTGATGTCAGGAAAGACTGAAGGCAGGAGGAGAGAGATGACAGAGGATGAGATGGTTGGATGGCATCACCGACTCAATGGACATGGGTTTGGGTGGACTCCGGGAGTTGGTGATGGACAGGGAGGCCTGGTGTGCTGTGATTCATGGGGTCACAAAGAGTCGGACACGACTGAGCGACTGAACTGAACAGAATATCCCTGCTAGCATGTTTCCCTCTACAATTCTTTCTGCATAAAGTACCCAAAGGGCTTGAAATTCTTTAATAATTCCCATTAAAACTGAAATGAAAACCAAATCCTTCTGATGGCTTAACTCCTGACCTCTGCCAGCCTCCTACTCTCCAGTATAACTCTCCTTTGTCTCTCCATCTGTAGCAACACTGAGCTCCTCTACAGTTTTCAAAACAAATGTGTTTCCTCACAGAGCCTATGCACTTGATATTACTTCCTCCTGCAGATCCTGGCTTGACAAGAAGCTCCTTCTTGTTCAGATCACAAGTAAAGGCCATATATTCTTTTGGAAGCATACTATCAAAAGTAACCCTCTTTCCTCTGATTCCTCCTCTTTTGTTTATTTATGAGTATATAATCCACTTATCTCTTTAGAATGTAAGCTCCTTGATGGCACAGGTCTTATGTGTCTTGTTCACAGGTGCATACCTACTTTATCAATATTATTGAATGAAGAAATGAAACACTGAACTGATAAATGAAGGAGTAGGGTAATAGAGGGGAATGGTTACCTTGTCTCACTGCTACTCCTCCCATTATCATCCCTCATGCCACTCCTAAGTTTGCCAAAGAGTAAGCAAAGGAACTTGGAATCAGGCAATGAAGAATACAGGAAAGGTAGTCCTAAGGAGCAGTATGCAAAGGGTTTAAAGAGGGATTGAGGGTGCCGGGTGGGGGAGTCTTAATTTAGGAAGGAGAAGAGTAGACTTCTTAAAAGCATCATACATAGCCTCTCACTCAATGCTGAACCTTCCAAGTAAGAAATATAAAAGAAGAAATGTCTATATTCTATAAAGCATTATGTAAATTGCATTTTCAAAGTTGAAATATTTAAAACACATTAGAAAATATGTTATATCATTTGTGAATCCTTTTACCAGGGTTTATAGCAGAATAGGCAAGTAGGGTAAAGGTGATCAGTAAAAAATAAATACACTGCTTACATTTCAGTGGACAACTGACCTTAAATAATAGAGTTCTGGAGAAATATCTTTTAGTTTAATTTTAGTTTAAAATATTCTGCTCAAGAAAACATAAAAGGAGAGTGGCATAGAGAATATTGGAGTAATATTCTGAAAGCTTTTCACATATAATTACAGTTGCAGTCACATGAGCAATCCATGACTCTGAAGAGCAGGATTCTAGTGTAATTACACATAATACATTTATTTTGTTTTGATTACAAAATTCACATTATTTGACTATGCTTGGACCTCCACATAATATGGGAAAAAGTTGTTTCTTAATAAAAGCATATAACTAACCTACTAATAATCAGATTTCTAATGTAGTTTCACAATCTGAAATTTTAAAACTGCATTCCTATTATGTTACAGATTAATACTTGTTCTCAGAACTATTTCCAAAAAAGAAAAAAATTCTTACCAGACATAAACTGTGTAATAGAGGATAATTCCATTTGGCTCCAGGGGTGGTTGCCATGACAACTTCACCGTGACACCAGACAACTGTTTTACAGAGAAGTATTGTGGGGGAGAATCAGGAGCTGAAAATTTAGGGTATAAGATAATGTATTAATATTTTATTAAACATACATAAGAAGCAGCTAAAATAGAAGTGCACAAAATTTTTATTTTGAACTTTCTGGTGAATGAATTGGGTACAGGGCCTTTCTCCATGGGCTTAAGAGGCTGTTTACTTTCAAAATGAGATGATAAAAGAAGATTTTGCACGGTGGTGTTAGAACATCTGTTTCTGTGATTCAATGGAAAAAAATATTTCATGAGAAAAAAAGAACAAGGGTTATGACACTGTGATTCACCTACCATTCAAGTATATCTTGGTAAATTATCATCCTCCAATAAAAATAAAATTACTGGGGTGAGTAAATACACAAGAAAAGAACTCCCCAAACAATAAAAAGAATTGGGGAAAAAAATCACACATCCAAGAAGCAGTAAAGTGATAAGCATAACACTGTGAGAGGAAATGACTGACCTCACAAATGAAAACTATACTCCTCAATTTCATTTGTGTCATTAAACTGCAAAATAGCATCAAAATATGTTCACTAAATCTTCAAAACTGAATGGTTTACAAAGGAAATGCCAATGTAGCACATAAGCAAGTAAACAGACCATTTTAGGGTCTATTTCTAATTGTGCTATAATAGTGTAAGGATTCAAATATTTCAGCCATTCTGCATTGAATAAACACTAAAAGAATACTGTAAACTAATTATCAAGTATATATTTCAACTTAGATAAAACATTTAGAATGTCCTTTCTCAGTTGCAATATAATAGCAGAATAATGTCTTAAAATATTAATGATTTTTTCATGTAAAGGGGTATAAATTACTACAATTTTGATCACTGTTTTAGTTATACATGGAGACTGAACTCACACCTAGTAGAAATTCTGAGGGTTAGTGCAGATTTCTTTAAACAGTTTAAATTTATAGATTAGTATTGTGCAGATCACTTTTTTCCAGTAATTTGAAGATGCTGCTTGAATTATATTTTCTTTCTGACTTTTGGGGTCATTCTAACTAAAATGTATGTGTACACATACATGTGTGTTTTCATTATTTTGATAATAAAAATTTTTCAAAAAAGAGTTTATTGAGTAGAGAAAAGCTTTATGAAATAAATTCCACAAAGTAACAGTAGCAGCTGTATTTATGTTTTCAGTTGGTATTCTCGCTGGCACCACAATAAAAATGCTATCAAACCTGATTATCACAGAATCCATATATCATGTGGAGGTGTTTGTTTCCCAAGATATGAATTACCTCTAACTGAGAACTTTCTTTCATTTGTTAAAACAAAACGCTGTAATATTTTTCTGAATATCACTGTAAAACTTATATTATTGGAAAAAAAAAGAATTTTAATCAGAACTAGCACTGATACAGAACATTGTATGTTGTAACTAAGCATTTCTCTTTGATAATGTGCTTTATGCTTTAAGATGTTTATGTAGAATATCAACTCCTGGTGTTTTATATTTAATCTTCAATATATTCTTGAGTAGTTTCTTTTTTATGTCACACTTTTTATTACTGAAAAAGTGTGATTAACATGACTTTTAAAGTAAAATACTGCATATCTACTATATCAGATGAAGTTTTAACCATTTTAACATTTGTCAAAATTGCTTTTGCACTCTTCAGAAATAGCTCAGTTGGTAAAGAATCTGCCTGCAATGCGGGAGACCTGGGTTCAATCCCTGGGTTAGGAAGATCCCCTGGAGAACGGAAAGGCTACCCACACCAGTATTCTGGTCTGGAGAATACCATGGAGAGTCGGACTCAACTGAGTGACTTTCACCTCAGAAATGCAATTTTAAAAAATGAAATTGGAAAAACTAGAATAAATAAATGCAATGTCTTTTGCAATCTATCCAACTCATCATGACAGAGATATGAGTATAGATAAGAAGGGTCTTCATAAGGCTCTTACTTTCTCTGCTTGGCACAATCATTCCTATCCCTAACCCTGCCTCTACTAATCTTGCTTCAGGTCAGAGCTTAAACACCACTTAATCTGCTACATTCTCCTGGACGCCTCAGAGTAGCTAAAGTTCTTTTTTTTTGTCCTGGTGAACATTTATGCCAGTAATTATAATTATAAAAATTATTTGTCTACACATTTGTCAAATTTAGACCTCTTCTAAAGAAGGTAAGGAGTTCCTAATACCCAACAATAAGCAAAACTTTTCAGGCCTTTATCCATTCTAGATTTGCTGTAATTTTTCTATAAGGGGATTTTGTTCTTTACCCTGTTTGTTAGCAGTTATGTCAATGACTGAGCCAAGGACTTAGGTGGGTGTTTACCATGATTTCATATTTTGAATAGCCCAGGTATAATTTGAAACTATTGACTTAAACAGTAATAAACTCTGACTGCTCAAAATAATAACATATGTTGTCTACTGGTCTAGGTTCCTTCATAAACAACCTCAAATGCTTACTACATGGGCTATTTAATTAGATTAGAAATTAAGAAGCGGGTACTATATCTAGTAGGGCATTGCTAAAATGATCTAGTTAAAATGCTAAAATGTATCTGAGCCATTATCTAAGAAAGAAAACAATCTAACCTTCTACCCTAGCCTTTAATCACTGTCCCACTGTCCCATTTATTTGGTAAATTTTCACTTTGAGAGCAAGAAAAATTATCTATGAAAAAATGAAAATTTGGACAGGTAAGTTCTGCTGAAGAAACAAGCATAGGAAGCAGAAGCAATACTGAGGAAGACTAACCCATGAGAAGACACAGAAACTGGGGCACGTGGTGAATGACCGCAATCTGAACATCCACAAAGCACAGTTCAATGGGAAGATGGGGAAAGCTTGAGAGTGTGAAAAAAGATATTCTACAAACACATGTTACATCCAGAACTATTCCTCCTGGCAATGGGACTTACTTTTGCAGATAAAGAAGAATATTCTCAAAATATACAATGTAAGAAACATAAAAGGCAAATCCAAATCCAAAACACATCTCTCAAAAGTAATTTTCATTATAGCACGATATATGCCTACAACTTGGTGAAGCAGCATTGTAAAGTGGTCTCAGTAGTAAAGTTGATTTTATTCAAGTGAGGAAAGGTGAGCTTAAAAGTTGAAAATGAAGGCTATTAACATTCAGGAATGTTGGCATCTTGGCAAATCATGGAGAGAAATCTGATAAATAGCCTGAACTCATTAGCAAGCTAATCTTAATAACATCAAAAATGCTGCAGGCCCTTGCTGATCTCAACACCTTGTCTCAGATTCACTGACTTACTGTGTGGTGAGCAGAACGAGTTTGGACTCCATAAAAGTCACCCTGGACATGAAATGACACATGCATGTAATATACCTGGCACAGGATAAAGGTTATGAGTTCTGTTCCCCTGGGATGTTTTTGCTTTTAAAAGGAACAGATTAAAAATCAACTTAAGGAGAGAATAAGATGGCAGAGGAGTAGGTGGACGTAGAGTACCTCTCTCTCCACAGATACACCAGGAATACACCTTCAGACACAAAAGTCCATGTAGAACACCAGCCAAGAGTAGACAGGAGTACCTGACCAGTGGAAAAGAATATACAGAACCAGGCAAAACTTGGTAGGATGAAGGAACTAGAGGGGAAAAGAGGAGTTTTAGTAGGACTGGACCTGCCCTCAGTCGGTGGGGGAGCTGAAGCAGGGGTCCAATCCCCACATTGGGGCAACTGTCTGAGTCAGAGGAAAAACATATAAGTCTGAAAGAGAAACAGGTGATCTGTGGCAGCCTAAATGGAATGAGAATTAGACAGTCCTTCCCACAGTCACATACACCCCAAACAAGGAGGCAGGTCACCTGGAAGGCGCAATGGCTGGGAGCTGGACTTTAGGGATTGTGGAGCAATCCCAGGGCGAGGGCTGCTATTGACTGTGGAGGGACGGATTGAGGGGATGTGAGGGAGGAGACTGTGGTGGGAAATGCCTGTGGAGGAAAGCCAGGCAACCATGGAAGCAAGGTGATACTGCTCAGTCACGCGTAGGGGGTATAACCATCACCATGGCCTCTCTCCTCCCACACAACAGCAGCAGTTAATCTTTAAAGTATACAAATCTTTATATCTATTTAACTTTGCATATATATTCTTTCTTTCTTTTCTTTCTTTCCTTTCCTCTTAACATATTTGTTAGTTTTATTTTCATTGCTTTATTCCTCAATTGGCACCTTGCTTTAGTTTTGTTTTCCAGTTTGTGCTTTAGTTAGTTTTGTTCTGGTAGATAGAACTTTTGCTTTCCTTTGTTCGCCGGGTCAACCTATTGTACTTTATTTTTGTTGGACTGTTTTGATTTTGCTTATGGGTATATATGTATTTGTTTATATTCAGTCACACTTTTTATTGTTGTTATAGACCTCTGCCTCTATGTTGGGCTTTTGCAGTTCTATGGAGTTTTACTTTTTTTTTCTTTTTTCTTCTTCCTTTTTTCCTTCTTTTCCTTTTTTATAATTTTTTAAAACCTATTATATTTTTTCTACATTTATTCCTTTGTTTGCCTTTCCTACTGCTCTTTTCCCCTTGCAGTTAATCTTTAATGTATATAAATCTTCTTCATCTACCTCTATTTAACTTTGCATATCTATTCTTTCTTTCTTTCTCTCCTTTCCTCTCAACATATTTGTTAGTTTTGTTTTCATTGCTTTATTCCCCACTTGGCACCTGGCTTTAGTTTCATTTTCCAGTTTGTGCTTTAGTTAGTTTTGTTCTTAATGGGTAAATATAATTTTTTATTTCCTTTGTTCGCTGGGTCAATCTACTGTATTTTGTGTTTGTTGGACTATTTGACTTGCTCATGGGTTTATATGTATATGTGTATATTCCATTATTTTAAGTATTATTTGCCTGATTTTGTAACTGCCATTTGCCTGGGGTTAATCTTTGGTTTCTCATTTTTTGACATTTGTTTTAATCTCACTTAATGCTATGACAAACCACTTGTAGAATCTTCATTCCTGACCAGAGATCAAGCCCTGAGCCTTTGGAGTGGGAGCACTGACTCCA